TGGCGCAGGATAGAGCAGGGTTTAGGGCTGTTGTGCATAGGGTCGCTATGAGTCACAAACGACTCGACGGCACATACCAACAACAACAACAACATGCCATTTTATGCAAGAGACTTAAGCATTGACAGATTTGGGCATCCATTGTTTCCATTGGCCCTGGAACTGATCCCCTGTGGATACCAAGGTTACAACTGTTGCATAGGTACTTTTGAAAAACTGGTCAAAGTTAGCTACTTTTGTGGGTTTTTAACAAATTTTTTAATTGTGATTTTGACAAAAGTTTACAGAAAAATAATGCAGAAAGTATTAAAAGAAGATGGAAAGAGTATACAGAGTCACTATACTGAAAGGAATTAGCAGACACAAAAGAATTTCATGAAACAACATACAATCAAGAACCTGGGAAGATTAAGTGTTGCAGACCAAGGGTAAAGTAATAATGAGACAGACAGCCAAGAATGAGATAAGAGAGAGTAAAGACAGGGGACCAGCAGTCCTGATGACTGAAGCACCCAAGCCATGCTTCTCTGTATTTATTGAGAATCATCAGGAGGGTAAACAAAGGATAATCACAAGGGAGTAGAAAATAAAAACAAAAAGTATCATGGGGAGTTCTTTGCAGATAAGGGGGAGTTCTACTCTATTGTTTACCTTATACTAATCTCAGGAGGGAGGGATTCAGTAAATACAAACTAAGAACATGTTGACTCTTAAGTAATGCCTTAGTGCCTCAGGGTGAACTCCAGTTTGTATTACGTCTCCCTTATATCCTGATACAGCATTTGCTTTATTATTAATATTAAATTTGATACTCAGCTTCCCACAATTAAGGAAGAAGTTCAAGCTGCTTTGAAGGAATTTGCAGTAAAAGAAGGCCCCAGGAATTGATGGTATAACAACTGACGTATTTCAACTAACAGATGCTGCCCTGGATGGTGCTCACCAAGTTGTATCAAGAAATCTGGAGGACAACCACTTGGCCAAATGACTGGAAGAGATCTATATTTGTTCCCATTCCAAAGAACGGTAAACCAACAGAATATGGAAAATTTTGAACAACATCATTTTTGTCAAATGCAAGCAAGATTCTGCTGAAGGCTATCCAAAAACGACTGGAACAGCACATCAACAGAGAACTGCCAGAAGTCCAGGCTGGTTTTAGAAGGGGTACTAGGGATATTATAGCTAATGTCAGATGGATCTTGACTGAAAGCAGGGAATACAAGAGAAATTTCCATCTGCGTTTCATTGATTATGCAAAGGCATTTGACTGTGCGGATTACAACAAACTGTGGCTGACTTTGAGAAGAATGGGAACCCCAGAACACTTGATCATGCTAATGCAAGAACTATACTTGGACCAGGAGGTAGTCGTCAGAACAGAGCAGGGTAACATTGCATGGTTCAAAATTGGGAAGGGATGTGTCCTATCTCCATACCTTTTCAACCTATATGCAGAGCAGATTATCCAGGAGTCTAGGCTATATGAGGAGAAATGTGGTATCAGGATTGGTGGAAGATTCATTAACAATCTGTGTTATGCAGATGACACAACCCTTGCTAAAACTGAAGAGGACCTGAAGCACTTGCTGCAGAAGGTCAAGGACTGCAGCCTTCAATATAGATTGAGGCTCAATATCAAAAAGACAAAGATTCTCACCACTGGGCCAATTGGCAGCATCAGGATGGATGGTGAAGAGATTGAGTCTGTTAACAGCTTTAGTTTGCTTGGCTCCAGAGTCAACACTCTTGGTACTAGCAGCCAGGAGATTAAAAGGCGTATTGCATTGGGAAAGTCTTCTGTTAGGGACCTCTCCAAAGTACTGAAGAGCAATGGTGTCAGTCTGGAGACTAAGGTGTGCCTGATACAGGCCATGGTCTTTGCAATTATTTGCTATGCATCTGAGAGCTGGGCAGTGACTAGGGAGGATAGAAGGAGAATTGATGCCTTTGAGTCGTGGTGCTAGAGAAGAGTATTGAATGTACCATGGACTGCTAAGAAAACGAATAGGTTCAACCTGGAGAGAGTTAAACTATGCTGCTCCTTGGAGGCAAGGATTCTGAGGCTTCATCTGACATACTTTGGACATGTTGCAAGGAGTGACCAGACCTTGGAGAAGGACATCAGGCTAGGAGTGTGGAGGGACAGCACAGGAGAGGAAGACCGTTAATGAGGTGGATTGATTCAGTGACTGGGGTAGTGGGGGTAGGTGTGTTGGAGACTGAGATTGGCACAGGATGGAGCAGGTTTTAGGGCTGTTGTATATAGGATCTTTATGAGTTGCAGGTGACTCAACAGCATATAACAAAAACAACAATTGTGATTTTGATGAAAGTTTACAGAAAAATTACATTTTCATTCTTTCATTGATAAACATTTACCCCCCCACCCTCCTTTCTCCCTCCCCAGTTCTTTTTTTTTATTTTCTCTCTCCCCCTCTTCCCTCTACCCCCCACCCCCACCCCAGTCCTGTTTGCAATATACCTCTTATTTTGCACCACTGTCTTAGTTAGCTACTTTTGGAGCTAATGTTCAACAGGAATATAATGTAAAAACTCATCAAATTGTTCTTGATATTTTGACTCTGAAATTATATAATGGTCTCTTTTTTATAATGAGAACCCATTTAGAGAAAAAGCTAGAGTTTTTCTTTTTAGCAGTACTGTTGTATGCTGTTGAATCGCTTGTGACTCATAGCGACCCTATATACAACAGCTCTGAGCCCTCCTCTATCCTGAGCCAACCTCATTGTCTCTGACACACCTTACCCCATTACCACAGTCACTGAGTCAGTCCATCTTATCCAGGGTCTTCCTCTCTTGCACTTTCTTCACCTTTCTAAGCGTGATGTCCCTCTTCAAGGACTGGTCCTTGCACCTTACCCAAAGTATGTCAGACGGACGGAGCTTCAAAATCTTGCCTCCAAGGAACAGCCTGGTTTCACCCTTTCTAGGATGAATTTACTACACTTCATACTACACTGATGTGTCAAAAGCAATAATGGTTACCCATGGTGGACGGTGTTGGTTGGAGCTCCCCCATTAAAACAAGCTTGTAAGCAGGAATGGCATTCACTTCTGTAAATAGTTTGCCTCCAGAAACCGTATGAACCTGGAGAAAGGATGAAAGTCACACAAATGTCTTGGACTTTCATTCATAGGGTCGCTGTGAGTCACCTACAACTCAACAGCACTTAACAACAACAACAACAGGATGAATTTGTCTGTTCTCCTAGCAGTCCATGATATATTCAGTACTCCAGCACCACAATTCAAAGGCATAAATTCTTCTTCTTTCATCCTTAGTCATTGTCCAGCTCTCTGATGCATAGCAATTAATTACAAAGACCGTGGTCTGGATCAGGTGCACCTTAATTTCCAGACTGATATCGTTGTTCTTTAGTACTCTGGAGAGGTCCATGACAGCGGACTTTCCCCAGTGTGATTTGTCTTGCTTTCTTGGCTGCTGGTACCATGAGTATTATTGTGGAGCTGAGCAAGTTGAAGCTGTTAACAATTTCAATCTCTTCACCCTCTATCATGATGCTGCCAAATGGCCCAGTGGTGAGGATCTTTGTTTTCTTGATGTTGAGCTTCAATCCATATTGAAGGCTGCAGTCCTTGACCTTCTGTAGCTAATGCCTCAGATCCTTCTCAGTTTCCACAAGCAGGGTTGTGTCATCTGCATAAAAGGTTGTTGATGAGTCTTCCTCCAGTCCTAATGCCACATTCCTCCTCATAGAGCCCAGCCTTCTGGATGATCTGTTCTGCATACAGATTGAAAAAGTATGGAGATAGGATGTATCCTCAGCGTATACCTCTCCTGATTCTGAACCTGCAGTGTTTTCTTGATCTGCCTTCTAGTCCAAGTATACATTTTGCATAAGAACAGTCAAGTGTTCTGGGAATCCCGTTCTTCTCAGAGTTAGCCACAGTTTGTTGTGATTTACAGTCAATTGCCTTTGCATAGTCAGTTAGACACAGGTAGACATTCCTCTGGAACTCTGCTTTCAGCTGAGATCCATTTACCATTGGCTATACTATCCCTGGTACCATGGCCTCTTCTAAACCCAGCCTGTACATCTGGCAGTTCTCTATTGATACCCTGTTCCAGTTGTTTTTGGATAATTTTCAGCAGAATCTTGCTTGCATGTCATAGTAATAATCCTGTTCCATAATTTCCACACTGTTGGTTCACCTTTTTTTTAAATGGGAACAAATAATGGAACTCGTCCAGTCAGTTGGCCAGGTCTTCCAGATTTCTTGGCACAACTTGGTGAGCATGTCCAGGGTGGTGTCTCGTTGTCGAAATATTATCAGTTGGTATGCCAACAATTCCTGGGGCCTTGTTTTACAATACTAGATAATATTAAAATGTAAAGGAGCGAGCTGTGGTAGCCTAATGACAAGAAGTTACACTGCAATCCCAGAGGCGAGCGGTTCGACTCTACCAGATGCTCTGCTGGAGGAGGAACAATCTCCTCCTGTACCAGTCAGATCCGATTTGATGGTACACACACACACAAATAATAATAAAATAAAATTAAAAAAAAAAAAAGGTAAAGGAATTCACCAAGCACAGAGGAATGAGGTATAAACTTTAAAACAAAAAATCTAGGAGAATTACAGACTTACAGTTTTAAAAACCAAACCTACCACTGTCCAGTCAATGTGCATTCACAGTGACTCTGAGAATTTCCAAATCTGTAATCTTAATGGAACCAGATGGCCACATCTTTCCCAAGCGGATCATTCTGTGGATTCAAACCAACAACCTTTTGGTTAGTAGCTGAGCATTGGGCTACTGCATCACCTGGGCTCCTGTTGTAGCTCTAGGGCATTAAAAACTTGGCGTAAGGTCTGTTGAAATATGAGCTTATCACTGTATATATTAGTTAATGATGACCAGTGATAAGAATTAAATGACTTACAATTGGAAGAGGTTTATATCAAGTTTGTACATTAACAATATGCAGTATACTTGATGAAAGTGAAGAGGATGGGAAGTATATATGATGAAGATCAAAGATTACAGTTTTCTTTATAGACATCTCAAATAGAACTACACCAATAAACATTGTGATAAATGGAGAAAAGATTGGAATAGTCAAACTTTCCATTTCCTGGATCTATAATTAACATCCAGTTAGTAGCAGTCAGGAAATCAAATGACATAATGCACTAGGTAAATCTGCTTCAGAAGACCTCTTTAAATTGTTAGAAAGCAGTGATATCACCCTTAGGACTAAAGTGGACCCGGCCCAAGTCACAGTATTGTCATTCACTTCGTATGCATGCAACAATGAAAAAGGAAGACCAAAGAAACCACTGTATTCAAACTGCATTAGTGAAGAGTAGACTTGTCTGTGCCAGAATGATGAACAAATTAGTCTTAGAAAAAGTACATCCAGAATCCTCCTTAGATGTAAGACTGCTGAGACGTTGTCTTGCTTGCTTTGACCATGTCACGAAGGAGGACCATTAGCTAGAAAAGGAAAGACATGCTTGGTAGTGAGTCAGGGAAAAAGAGGGAGAGACTGAATGAAATGGATTGACACAGTGGCTACCACAGGCTCAGACAGCAACACCTGAAGGTGGCCCAGGACTGGACAACATTTTGTTCTGGCACTTGACAATGAGTTAAAATTCCAGACACCTTAGCAGTATTTTCAGAGGCTCCTCTGCAAAGTGATCTCTCTTTTTGTGGGTAATAACTCTAAGCATGATAATAATCTTTCAAGACCAGCATAGGAAACAATTTGGGAGCAAAGAGCGCTGACATTTTCTTCTGCTTTTGTTCAGCTTAAGATATTTGTAATGAGCAGTCTCCTCCCGTCTGATTTATAGACTCTGAAAACCCACTGGTGGGTCAGCTACGATTCAATTCTACATGACAGCAGTGAGGGTTTTTCTGGTAATAGTAGAACATAGTTAGATGTGTGGGGAACTCTGGTGGCCTAGATTTAAGAAACTGTGCTGCAATCCCAAAGGTATGCAGTTCAAATCCAGTAGCTGCTCCACAGGAGAAGGATAGGCAGTCTGCTCCTGTGCAATTAACTGCCTCTGAAAACCCACTGGACGGTTAGCTGTGGGTCGGTTCCAGCTCGGCAGTATATAACAACAGTCAGATGTGAAAGCATAGAGCTTAATAGACCCGAGAGATTTTACTTGAGAGTCATTATCATGGTTGTCTATGCTCAGAGAAAGTAGACGAGGAGAGAAAAGATGGAGCTATGGGAGAACTTTAATAAATGTCGATAGTTGTAGAGAGGCTTCAAGTCTTTTGTTCATAGGGTCACTATGCATTGTGCTGGACTCGAAGGCAATCAACACCAACAATGGGAGAACAACACATAGGCCTCTACTACCGTGCTCATACACTGCTAACCAGTGTACTAACTCCTTGGGAGATGGCCTGTGCATGTGTAGATATTTCTTAAGGAAATGTTTTGTTTGCATTGTATTGTGATTTATTATTGGATCAGTGAACAAATCAGGTATTCATTTTCTATTCTAGGTTATCTACTTTTGGAAATGCAGGAAGCTCCCACCTTGACTATCCCAAAGATTCTGATTTGATGGAAGCGTTTCACTGCAGTAAGACCCAGATCAACAGGTCAGTTTTTCATGTAGAGGTTGACACTGGTGATGAAGGAAGCTAAGGTTAGATACCACATTGCTGTTTAAGGAAAGCACTTTCCATTGGTGAATAAAAGTGTACATCTTTTGAAAGACATGAAAAGTAAGGTGTTGGATTTTCTTGGATTTGGGGTTGAATTGAGGATGAAATTTTAATAAAATTTAATAAAAATCAAGAGAAAATATATCAAATTAAACAAGTATATTTTTATTTTATTCTTCTATTTACTGGTAGTTGTTGGATAGAGTAGTAAAGTCAGTAGGAGTTGTGCTGCCAGCCCAAAGGCTGAGCTTTAGTGTGAATCCACCAGGGGCCCTGAGAGAGAAGGATGGGTGGTCTCTTCACATCCAGAGGAGGGTCAGCCTGAAGTCCTTTTCAACTCAGTGGGAATTGGACAGAGTTCTTAGCTTGTAATTTTTGTAATGATCACTGCTTTCTGGGTGTTCAAATAACAGCTTTTTTCAATTCTTTCACAGATACAAGATCTCCTTACTGAAGCCATCTACCAAGGCATTGGTCCTATCTTGTAAAGTATCCATTCGAACAGATAACCGAGGATTCCTCTCATTACAGTATATGATTAGAAATGAAGATGGACAAATAAGCTTCGTGGAATATTACTGCTGCCCAGATGAAGAAGCCCCTGAGACCGAGTCTTAAGTGTCAGAGCTCACAGTGGTATTTATGTGTAAGTCCATACAGGCCTTGGAGGGCCCAGCTTTCTTTGTAATTTCTTGCTGGATTCTCTTTAGAGGAGAGCAGAGGGGAAATAGAAACAAAGTCCCTGTGCCTTGATAAGAGCGCGGTATTTTTTAAAGAAGTGTCTTCATGTAGTCATGGATTATCCAGCATCAGGCTGTCTTACAGTTGTCTTTCAACTCACGAGACTCATGAGTCAAGATTAATAAATTATGTGTCCTCTTATTTACATAGGCCATTTCAAGAGTCAATACTTGAAGCTTAATGAGTACAAGTGCATACGTGATATGTTTTATTATTGAGTATCAGGAAAAACATGAGTATTGCTGACTAGTTTGACTTTTGGAGAATATCTCCAAAAGCAGAAGTCTCAAAGCAGCAACTCGAAACGTAGCAGAAACTGGACATGGGCCCAGCAATCTGTGTAAAATAGCCTTCCCTCAGACAATTCAAATGTGTGCTAGAGTTTGAGAGCCACTGCTTTAAGTGGATCTTTTTAAAAGCCCTTCGTGGCATTGAGGACATAGGTGAACGTGTGATTCCTTGATCAGCATATTATGAAACCATGTGAAGTTTAGGTATTGTCAAACAGGCATAAGCAACTCTTTGTATGGTTTGTTTTTGAAGAAATCCATGAATGGGGCATAAAAGTCTTTAGAGTTAGATTTTCTTCTTGCTCACAACAGTGTTCAATGTAGGACGTGCTTTCTAAATCACAAGCCTGATGCTATCCAACTCCACAACCCTCTGTTGGGTTGTAAATCTTTCTCACCAGAGACTTCACCTTTCTCCCTGGGAGCAGCTGGTGGATTCGGGCTTTATTACCAGAGCTCTTTGCCAGATGCCTTCTACTTCACTGTTAAGAGTTTCTTGTCAAACCAAGGAGGAGAACCCAATTACAAGCAAGTTTGTACATTCATGGGTAGTTTACAGTGAAAGAAATTTGTGGTATGTAGGTGTCTTGAGGAGGTGCTGATAACACAGTGGCTACGGTGAAAGGTCAGATGTTTGAATCCACCAGCCAGTCTTTGGAAGAATCGACTTGTGGGAGTCAACTTGACAACACTGGGTTTATTTGGGTTAGGTAGAATTTTGTATTTAATAAAATAGTTAAGTCTTTTTCTAGTTAATTATCTGATGTGTTCTCTAGGAGAAAAAAATTACAACTGAACTAACCCTTCTGTCCTTATTTTACCAGGTGACTGATAGTGCTTAGTGGGCAGAGATTATTTGACCAGGGGTGGGGGACAGTTCATCATTGCAAAGAATGTCATCTCATTGCAGGATCATTTTGCCTCTGTGGCCTTTACCTACTTATGTACTCCTCCATTCTTTAAATACAAGTCCCCCATAGTTGATTAGGTGATATTGACTGTAATTTGAGAGTGTATTTGGACTGCCCCCCTTCAAATCCACACTGGAGGAGCTTCATTTGGAGAGTGTTGCAGGGAAGCAGCTCAGAAAAGCCCCCCAGAGCAGCTGTGAGCACTGCTTCATAGACAGACCCATATACACCTAGCCCAGGTGAGTACCTTCTAATAAAACATCTCCAAGGATTCTCAGCTGGTGAAGAACGAGTGGGACTTATCCAAAGTAATCCCTCTTCAAGAAGGGAATACCCACGAAGGCAGACTGGCAAACTTTGTTAGATGAAACACTTCTGTTCCCAGATTCTGCTTTTTAGCATCTTATTCCAAAACAAGTCAGTTCTGACTCATGGTGGCCTTCCATTGATTTTCCAAGACTGTAAATCGAGACAGCAGGAGACTTCCCATCTCTGTCTGTGGCTCTAATGGTGGATCCAGATTACCAGAGACTCATAGCTTTGGGTTGGGAGCATAGCTCATTAGGAACTAGGCCACCAGAGCTCCCTAGCATCTTCTTGTTGAATTCTGTTGAGTTGGAAGCGATTCCTAGCTGACCCTCTAACAGGTGTTCAGAGGTTGTAAATTGCATGGAAGGAGATTGCCCATTTTTCTTCTGCAAAGCAGCTGGTGGATTCAAACTGTATACCTTTAAGTTGTTAGTGTAGCTTCTTATCCACTATGCCACCCAAGCTCCCATCATCTTCTTCTTGTTAGATGCTATAGAGTCAGGTAGGTGGATTGACACACTTACTCATCGGGACCCTGTGAACAAAGGATCTGAACCCAGTTGTGTCCTGTGCTAGCCTCATTATTTCTCACACACTTGAGCCCATTGAGGACTATGTCAATCCATCTGGTTGAGGGTCTTTCTCTCTTTTGCTGTCCCTCCATCTTTCCAAACATGATGTGCCTTGCCAAGGAAGAGCCTCTCCTAACTAAGCATCTTATTAGTCACTATTCAATTAATAAGTCCATTTAATAAGGAGGGAATAACATTGCCACACATTTTAAGCTATCATTTTAGCTGGAGGATCTACAATTCAGAAACTAATGAACCTACTTACTTATAAATCACTCTGACATCCGAATATCGAGTCAATAAACAAGTTCTTACTTACGAATGTTGTTTACCAAGTTATTTTTTTAAACTTTGGTCTCTGTTGTTGCTATGAAAGAACTTTAGGGGGAGCTCCACCTTGAACACAACAGGCAATACCAGGATAACTACAAATATATACAGCTTTCTTTTTAAGGGCGTTGTTTGTTGTTGTTATGTGCCGTCGAGTCGCCTGCGACTCAAAGCGACCCTGTGCACAACAGCCCTAAACTCCGCTCTGTCCTGTGGCAATCGCACTGTCTCTGACACTCCCATCCCGATTATCCCAGTCACTAAATCAATCCACCTCATAGAGGGCCTTCCTCTCCTGCGCTGTCCCTCCACCCTCCCAAGCATGATGTCCCTCTCTAAGGACTGGTCTCTCCTCACAACATGTCCAAAGTATGTTAGACAGAGCCTCAGAATCCTTGCCTCCAAGGAGCCACCTGGTTTAACCCTTTCCAGGACAAATCTGTTTGTTTTCCTGGCAGTCCATGGTATTCTCAATACTCTTCTCCAGCACCACAGCTCAAAGGCATCAGTTCTCCTTCTATCCTCCTTGGTCATTGTCCAACTCTCTGATGCATAACAGGTGATTGCGAAGACCATGGCCTGTATCAGACGCACCTTAGTCTCCAAAGAGACACCATTGCTCTTCAGCACTTTGGAGAGGTCCCTAACAGCAGACTTTCCCATTGCAATGCGCCTTTTAATTTCCTGGCTGCTGGTACCAAGACTGTTGACTATGGAGCCAAGCAAACTAAAGCTGTGTGCAATCTCAATCTCTTCACCATCCATCCTGATGCTGCCAATTGGTCCAGTGGTGAGAATCTTTGTCTTCTTGACAGTGAGCCTCAATCCATATTGTAGGCTGCAGTCCTTGACACTCTGCAGCAGGCGCTTCAGGTCCTCTTCAGTTTCAGCAAGCAGGGTGTGTCATCCGCGTAACACAGGTTGTTGATAAATCGTCCACCAATCCTGACCCCACATTTCTCCTCATAGAGCCCAGCCTCCTGGATAATCTGTTCTGCATATAGGTTGAAAAGGTATGGAGATAGTACGCCCTTCCCAATTTTGAACCATGCAGTGTTCCCTTGCTCTGTTCTGACGAGTGCCTCCTGGTCCAAGTATAAGTTTCGCATTAGAACGATCAAGTGTTCTGGGATTCCCATTCTTCTCAGAGTCAGCCATAGTTTGTTATGATCTACACAGTCTTTGCATAGTCAATGCCTTTATGCCTTTGCATAGTCAATGAAACAAAGATAGACATTCCTCTGGTATTCCCTGCTTTCAGCCAAGATCCATCTAACATCAGCTACAATATCTCTAGTACCATGACCCCTTCTAAACCCAGCCTGGACTTCTGGTAGTTCTCTGTTGATGTGCTGTTCCAGTCGTTTTTGGATAATCTTCAGTAAAATCTTGCTTGCATGTGAAATCAGTGACATTGTTCTGTAGTTTCCACATTCTGTTGGTTATTTTAAATTCATTTTCTTACCAATAAGCTTGGTAGTTAACCGTTCCCCATTTTAAATTTTTTCCCCCCTTGTGTACCATCGAATTGGATCCAACTGACACAGGAGCATATTGCCCCTCCTCCAGCAGGGAATTTGGTGGATTCGAACCGTGGACCTTCAGGATTGCAGTACAGCTTCTTGCCACTAGGCCACTAGAGCTCCCTTACCTTTCCCTATTTTTAATTTGCTTTTCCACTACTTGATAATGTAGCGTGTCCACCTAGAATTGAATTTTTTAAAATAATTATTTGTTAAATTTTGCTTTCCTAATAAAAAAACAGTTTCTCCAAGTTCATAGTTTCCAGAGACAAGCTATTTCGGAAGTGGATGCCACTCCTGCTTCCAAGCTTGTTTTAATTGGGGAGCTCCACCAAACACTGTCCACCATGGGTGACCATTATTGCAATTGGCACATCAGTGTCACAGTGTTTAGCATCACAGCAAACACGAGTTACCTCTGTACAGTAAATGGACAGACCAGTGCTATACCACTTAGAAGAATATTTGACCAAAAACCATTAAAACCAGGCCTGAGGGCCGCAGATTAAAATCACTCACCTTGGGCTTGATAGCATAACTTTCTATCCATGAGACCCACCTCCGGAAACTCTATGAACTTGGAGAAAAAATGAAAATCATACAAGTGTTCAGGTCTTTCATAGGTTCTCTATGAGTGGTCTACATCTTGACGGCACATAACACCACCACCACCAACATAGAGCTCTGTGGGCTTGGTGGATAGAAAGTTCCACTACCAAGTCAAACGTGGGTGATTTTAATCTGTGGCCCTAGATGAGAAAAGATTGAGACTGTCAGCACCTTCCTCTTACTTGAATCCATAATCAGTACACTTGGTACCAGCAGTCAGGAGATCAGAAGGTATATTCCACCAGGAAAATCTTTAGTCAGGGAGTCTCCAAGTTATCAAGGAGCAATGATGTAAGTCTGAGGACCAAAGTGTGCCGGGTTCAGGCCATGGTCTTTTCAGTCACTCACCATGTATCTGAGAGAC